GGCAGAGTCAGATCGAACAGGTGCTGATGACCAAGGTCTCAGCTCTGTCCCCTCTCCCCCCTCCCCCAGACATCTTATATACAAAGGGCTGGGTGCTTCCAATGGTAGTTACCAAGTCATAAGGCCTGGCTTCAAGGTCACCCAACATGTGGGTACTGGGGTCCTCAATTCAGACTGGAGGGAGCAGGGGTTGGCTGGGTTGGGCTGCTCTTACAGGCCCAGAGGCAGAATAATGTGGGGTCCCTAGGCTAGGCCAGTTGTGGCCAGGCTGGGGGAGGGGCTGACTGTTTGTTGATGCTAGGCCTGGGCCCCGGCCAGGGCAAACACAGCTCAGAGGCCTTTCCCGCCACCTGCCGAAATTCCCAGCCCAGCCAGTGGTGGCCGGACAGCTGGCAGCCAGTATGGGGCTTTGAGAGCAGCCTGGTGCCTTTTCCCAGTGGCCCGAGGGAATGTCCATCCATGCTGCCTCAGTGTTGGGGGGCAGCCACCTGGAGTGGAGGGAAGGGGAGCTATATCTCAGCTTCTAGCCCAGACTCCACCCCCAAATCCCCATCTCCTGAAACCGAGATACAGGCCCAACAGACTGCCAGACCCACGAGGCAGAATTTAGGGTCCCAGAAACACAACCCTGCCCTCCTCCTCCCTCTTAGTCGTATCCACTCTGCCTCCAGCTAGGAAGCCCCTCTCACCCTGTGATGACAATCCAGGCAGGGCCCAAGGCCCCCTCTAGCAGAGGTGCCCCATCTTCCCCTCCAACTTGGTCTTCTCCAGAGTCCAATATCTGTAACTACTAACTCCTCAGACACCCCGCAGGTGCCTGCCTCACACCAGTTGCCTCCTCAACACCCTCCAACCTGTTTCTCCTCCCAGTTGGCCTTGACACCTCCCCCAATGCCCAGTTGGCCACACATATTCGTGCTGCTCACAGAAATTGCCAGCCTTCATCTCCCTGTGGCTTTGCCCTCCTGGTTCCCAACTCTGTCCCACCTTCCTGATAAACTCTTACTTGTCCTTCAATACTCAAATGGAAAATCACCCTGAGAATGCTGCCTGGGCCACGGGGAGAGCTGATTCTTCATATAGTCCCCGGTGGCTGCTCCTGCCGCCTTATAGCACAGCTCCAGCCTTGGTGCCTCTAAAGCTTTCTATGGGTTGCCTAGATAGAAAAGCTCCTGCCAAGTTGGAAGACATAAATCAGGAAAAGCCTGATGGAAAGGCAACCTGTGGATTTGGCTTTGCCAAGGGGAAGAAAGGCACGTGCCAGGGTGAAGAGAAAGGCACTTTGGGTGGAGGAAAGAAGAACTGGTCAAAGGAAACTTGACTGTGAGTATGCAAGGCTGTGTGCAGGCCTCATGGGAGAGAGCTGACCTAACCTCCACACCCCAGGGTTGAGGACCCCTACCCACAGCTTCTGAACTCTCACTCCTGCTTTGGAGTCTGCAAGGTTTGCCCCTTTTATGGCACAAGCAAGGGCTAGGGTTAAGGTTGGCACAAAACGAGGTATGGAAGTATAGAGGGGACCAACAGAGTGAGCGTCCTGTACCCTTTCCCTGGCTCTGGCTCCTGGAACTGGTGACCTCTTGGCTGAGGACTGGCCCCCTCTATCCCTGAGATCTGGCTCCCAGCTTCTCTGGCCAGTGAAGCGGCTTAATGAGCCCAGGTCACATGGTCTATGCTACCTCGTGGGGGGAGGGTCCAAGCTCCTGGTGGCCACCCGGCCAGGCCCTGACGTCAGCAGCATTAACCGTCCGTCAAGCTTGTCTAATCTCTGGTCAGTGGCCGGGCCAGGTTTGTCCCGCCAGAGCCAGAGCTGAAGGCCATGAAGGCCCTCAGGGACACCTTGAGGTTGCAGGTCAGGCAGGGATGGTGGGGGCTGGAAGTTCCCACAGCAAAAGCTCCCCCCACCTATAAGACCAGAGTTTGGGGACTCGGCCAGCCCTGGGTCAGCTGTCTCTGATCCTCTGCCCTGGCCTGTGAATCAAACATATGGCATCCACTGATCCTGCTCTTGGGGTATAATTACACTCACTGCACTTAGGGTGTACAGAGTGGGACTGAGGAAGCTTCAGGCTGGAGACTCAGGGACCCCACACTTGTTGGCCATGGTCAGGGCAGCTCAAGGCCAGGCAGTGACCTCAGCCCATGAAGTCCAGGAATACTGGTCCTGAATCCCAGACCCTGGAGTCAGAACCATGGGTAGGGAAAGGCGGCGGGGAATGACCTGGTGTTTGGGTTTGTCTCTGTCCCTTGCCCAGGAAAGCTGGGGAGCTCATTACCTTTTTCCCAAGATGAGGTGTCTTCTACCTTGCCTCATCCCATTAAATCCCTTTGTCACTCTGTCCTGTCCCACCTCACTCCAGTAACCTGCTCAGCGGAGGGTCCTGAGTACCTCCCTGAGCAACCTCAGCTCAGTCAGACCCAAGACCATTCAGCAGGAGCCCTGAGCCCTGGCTTCTGCGCAGGCTCTCAGCAGCATCAGCGCTGTCTGCCCACGTGTATTGTGGGCTCCCGAACCCACCCAGGGCCCCCTGTCAGGCCTGGGTTCCCTTGCCCTCTAGCCACCCCGCAACAGGCTCAGAGCTCTACCCCCCACCTGGATATTGAGGATGCTGCCCTCCCGCTGCCTCCGCCCAGCCCAAGTATCTGTCTGCCTCCTGGACATCTCCCTCGAATGGTGACAGGTCCGGAAAATTCAGTCCCTTCAGCAGCCCTCTGCAGCCCCAGCTTGGTGGGGGCACCCCAAGCATGAGATCAGCTGTGCAGATCCAACCCAGGCTCCTGTCACTGAGCCCCCTTCCTCGCAGCTCCTTGCCCCATGGGGTGATGAAGACATAAACCCCTTATTCGTAAACCCCCAGCCCCCCCACCCCGTGCCCTCTCACACCTGTAGACATGTTTTGATGGATTTTTTTAATGATCATTTTTTTCCAGAAGTGTATTTAAAAAAAGTATTGATTTTGTTTCCATTAAAGCCAGGAAAATAAAAGGATAATAAATTACATTTAGGTATAAATAAAACAGTTACGCTTGAGATAATGTTGTGTTTTAATAGCTACTTTCAATTTTTAAAAAAATACCTAATGTTCTGTAAAAAATAAGACATTAGGGCCTCCCTGGTGGCGCAAGGGGTTAAGCACCGCACTATGAGGTGATCCGCAGCCTCTGCAGCACAAGTTTGATCCCCAGCCGGCCAGCTACGCACATGGCACAGCAGACCTCTCCTGCCTTGCCTGCTGTTCCTCTCAGCAGTGTACTTCAGTCGATCCGCCTGTTCTGTTCCCCACTGTCTCTGGTGAATCCTCTCACCCCCCGCATCTCTGGCCTGTACCCCCCAGCTCTTGTATGCATAAATTAAAAAATCTTTAAAAAAAAAAGACATTAAAGGGCCTCCCCGGTGGTGCAGTGGTTGAGCGCTGGGTTTTGAAGCTGCCCGCAGCCTCTGCAGCGCCGGTTCGATCCCCGGCTGCTCCCCGGCCACCAGAGGGGGGTCCCGCATGGCACGCAGACCTCTCCTGCCGCCCACTGCTCCCCTCAGCAGTGTATTTCTGCCTGTTCTGTTCCCTGCTCTGGCTCTGGTGAATTCTCTCACCCTCCCGCGCTTCTGACCCAGTGCTTATATAAATAAATAAATAAATAAATCTTCAAAAAAAAAAAAAGACATTAAAGGAGTGAACATTTTCCGTTTGTTTCAGGTTCCAATATGACTTGGCAGGGCTTTCTTGGATCCTGTATTTATTTAAAATTTTGGGCTTCCCTAGTGGCTCAAGGGGTTAAGATGAAACCTATGAAGCGGTCCGCAGCCACTACAGCACAAGTTTGAGCCCCCGGCCAGGGAGATACCCACATGGCGCAGCAGACCTCTCCTGACTTGCCGGCTGCTCCCCCTTAGCAGTGTATTTCAGTCAATCCGCCTGTTCTGTTCCCCACTCTGTCTTTGGTGAATCCTCTCACCCTCCCGTGCCTCTGACCTGTACCCCAATTCTTGTATGTATAAATAAATAAATCTTTAAAATTTTTTTGATATTTTGTGTATTATGGATATATGCATATATATATTTTAAGATTTATTTTTATTTATGCATACAAGAACTGGGGTGTAGGCCAGAGGTGTGGGGGTTGAGAGGATTCACCAGAGACAGAGCAGAACAGGTAGACTGACTGAAGTACACTGCTGAGAGGAGCAGCGGGTGAGACAGAAGAGGTCTGCTGCACCATGTGGGTAGCTCCCTAGCTGGTGATCAAACTCATGCCACAGTGGCTGATGATGGCTTGATAGCACTGAGATTTTAACCCCTGTGCCACCAGGGAGGTCCCATTATGGATATTCTTGCAGTCATTTGGATTTTTCAAAGTAGTACATTAATATGTTACTTATCTCAATTACTGAATTTTTTGCACCTGAGATGAGTTTGCCTTATCCTAACCTTAGCCTTGCGTGTACCAGCTTCAAGGCCTTGGGAGAGCCATCGTCTTCAGAAGGAAGCTCAGTTGCTCACACTGGCATTTGGCACCTGCCCACTCTCTCCCATACTGTAGTCCCCTTCCCTGCTTTGGCCCCACTGATTCCTGGGGCCCACAGCCCATGGCTAGACCTCATATAACCCACTGCCCCTGCCCAAATGAGCTTCTATCTCAAAACTCCTTCTTAACCCAAGATAGTCTCTGTTGACCGCATCTCATGGCTCTCCCTCAACTCTTCCTTGAGAGATCCAAGTTGGCCCATGGCCCTAATAATGTCCTATCAGTGACATTCCCCACCCCCCACCATGTCAGGCCAAATGCTTCTCCCATCTTCCCACTCATGTTCAGCCCAGCAGTGGGCATTTAATGCCCATGACTATGAAAATTAGTGCTCTCCCTCTCCCAGGAAGAAAGGACAGCTGGGCTTGATGCAAAGGTTTATTGCTGAGTCTGTGCATCTAGCTGAGGGGAGTGTGAACCATGGCCTGGCCTTGCCACATGGAAGTTCCTTGTCTCAGCTGCAATATAGGCTCTGGCCCAGGGGCATCAACTAGGACTCTGTGCCTGATGAGGAAGGAAGAAGCAGGGATGTGGCCGTGTGGACCTTTCTCCCAGACAGTTCAGGTATAGCCCTCAGTTTTTCCTGCCAGGGAGTGGGTCCTGAATGGGAAAGGTGAGACTGGTTGCTACCAGGGATCAGAGGGTGACCTGGGTTTATGCTTGTGACCCCCCCTGAAACAGACCACTCTGGGCACACCCTGGTCTTCCATCCTGTCCCAAATCCTCTGCCTGGAGCTGATCGATGGAAGCCGGACTCTGCCCCCAGCCACCCCTCAGGACAGTTAGATCATTGGCCACGGTTGGTGTCAACAGTACCCTCCCTCAATGGACCATTCTCTTGGCCTGCCAGCCTGGAGTACTGTGGGTAGGTGGGTGAAGTAGGGCATGGATCCAAGGACAGAGGGGCAGAGCCTAGGGGGAAGGGGCTGGAGGGTTACTCTGAGTCTGGTGTATGGAGAAGGTCCAGCTGGAGTCTCTCATTGGCACCCAGCAGCTCTCAGGCCTGCCCACACTTACTAATTCTGTGTAGGAGCTGCACAGGCTTGGCTGGCTTGGACTTTGGACGCCTGAAGCTGCTGGGAGGGACAGTCACTGGCCACTGGGCAGATAGATGTCGGATTTGTCACATGGAGGTGACAAGGCTGGAATGGTCTGATGGGAAGCAGCAGGCCTGCCCCTCTGCCCTTCATGAAATTCTGGGAGGAGAGGCTGTTTGCTGAACCCAGACCCACCAGGTGAGTCACAGGCCCCCTGGGGCAGGAAAGCCTCAGGAGATTGGTCAGTCAGCACTGCTGAGTCACTGTGCTCAGCTGCCCCCGGTCCTGTCTGCTCCTAGCTGGGGCTGGCTGTGGTGGGTCCGGACACCAGTGCAGCCAGGCCGTGAAGGGCAGTGCTGCTTAGGGGCACTGGGCTCTGGGAGACCTGGGAGGCCCAGAGGAGGGTCAAAGCCTCAAGGCTAGCAAGGTTCTGGGTTTTGGGTTTGTGGCTAATGCGGCCACAGGCTGGAGCCCAGGAGTTCGGGGGGGAATGAAAGGGTCCTGAGGGTTGGGACTACAAGCTCTTTGGAACTACAGGGTCTCAGGATGAGGGAGGAGAATGAGTCCAGGCATCTGTGAAGAAAGGAACCTAGTCAACATTCTGAACCTCAAAATAATTGGGGTTCAGGACTGAGAGGCACTATGGGGAGGACCTAGAAATAGTGACACCTGGGTCTCCCACACGAGATAAAGTGGGTGGGGCTCGCTAGTGAGGGGCGTGACCATTGGCAGTTGGGTGGAGCCTGAGGAGCCGGGGTGGGGCCTGGAAACAGTGGGGTCTGGATGTGGGGGGAGGGGAATTGGGATTGAGAACTGGGGCGGGACAAGATGATCCTGAGCAGTCGGAGTAGCGATGTGGGGTGCACAACTGGGGATACGGCTTAGGGTTCTAAGTTCAAAGGGCACGACAGGAGCGATCCTGCTGGGTAAGGCCCCCACCTCAGAAGAGGCCGCAGTCTTTGAGGTTCTCCTTGATGATGATATCGGTGACAGCGTCGAAGACAAACTTGACGTTCTGCGTGTCTGTGGCGCAAGTCATGTGGGAGTAGATCTCCTTCACGTCCCGCCTCATGTTGAGTTCGAGAAACTGCACCTTGATGTAGTTGCCCGCGTCCTCGTACGTGTTGGACCCTGGCGAGGGAGACCGGCGCTCACTTGGCGCCCCAAACCCTCGCCGCGCGAGGGGCGCAGGCGGGCTCGTGGGGCTGGAGCGCCGCCTGGCGCCTCACCGTCGTAGTCCGGGAAGCAGATGCTGAGATGCGCCTTTTTTATCTTCTCGGAGAAAACGTCCTTCTTGTTGAGGAAGAGCACGATGGACGTGGTGGCAAAGTAGCGGTGGTTGCAGATGCTGTTGAAGAGGTGCAGGCTCTCGTGCATGCGGTTCTGAGGAGGGCAGCGGCTGTCGGACATCGGGGGACGGGGCAGGCACCATGTCCGTGTCCAACCCGAGGACCCCTCCTCTCAGGGCCTCCCCCCTCAGACAGATGCCCCCAAGGCGCCCCTCCAGCGGGGTTGCTGGCTGCCTCCTCTCCTCCTCAGACCTCTCTGGAACGAATCTCCCCACTCAGCTGCTTCCCCTTCCTTGGGCACTGTCTCCCCCATTCCCCGGGGTGGCAGCTCTGCGCCTCCCCCAATGGTCAGGGCCTGCTTGACACGCACCACTTCGTCGTCCTCCACCAGCACCATGTCGTAGGCGCTGAGCGCCGCGATGAAGATGATGCAGGTCACCCCTTCGAAGCAGTGGATCCACTTCTTGCGCTCCGAGCGCTGTCCGCCCACATCGAACATCCTGCGGGGCCACGGGGGCCTGAACCCACGCATCGAGCCCTCCAGATGCCCCAGAGGGATGCCCTAGCCTCTTAATGCTGTCTGAGGGGGGAAGGGGAGGGAGGGGACTGGCATGTGGAGGGGCCAGGTCTGTCTGGGGAGGGGCAGGCTCTCCTAGGGATGGGAATGGGCCTCGGAAGGTGAACTCGCGGGCAGAGCCAGGAGCCAGGGTGCGGCGCCTGCCAGCGCAGGGCTGTACCTGAAGTGGAGATCCTTGAAGGAGAACTGTGTCTCGATGATGCCCGTGGTCTTGACACGTGAGCGCAGCACATCCTGCTCAGTGGGCACATAGCCAGGGGCTACCAGGCGCTCCAGGTCAGAAAGGTAGCTGCAGGGAACGCCGCAGTGTGTGTGGGCAGAGGTGGTGGTAGGGCGTGGCAGAGCCCTGCCCATGACCCCCTTCCCCACCCCAACCTGCCCGGCGCCCATACTGCTCACTCACTAGCCCGCGGAGTCATTGAGCTGGTATTCCGAGGCACGTTCAAAACAGGCCTGAATTCCCGAGTCCTTCCACAGCCGCTGGATGATGTCCGACATCTCCTTGGGCATCGTGCCCTCTTCGATGGTATCCGCCATATGCATCAGCTTCCGGGCGTCATCCTGGGGTTGGGGTGGGAGTGGTTGGTGGTGGCACTGGACTGGATACCGCCCTGAGTCTCAGTCCCCAGAGGTCCACCTCAACCCATCTCCTGGCACACCTGACGTGCAGAGTCTCCGTACTGGATGTTCAGCGTGGTCATGGCACGCACGATGGCCAGGATGGATTGAAGGGTGTTACCATAAATGATGGCAATGAATTCGAGGCACTCTTCCAGGGAGTACCCATCCTGGTGTATGATCCTATAGCCAGGGCAAGCAGGGTTAGCACCTCCTGAACCGGTGGGGAAGGACCATCTACACACACACACACACACACACACACACACACACACACACCCCTCCAGAAGACAGGGGCACTCACTTCATCTGCTTGACAATGGTGCTCTTCCCCGACTCACCAGCACCTAGAAAGGAAGCCCGGCTGGATAACCAGGATAACCGCAACAACCCTCCTAGTCCCACCCAACCCCTACCCTTAGCAAGATGGCTAGGTGGACCCCGGGCACCAGCCCAACCCCATGACCCCTGCTCCCCTCCCCCACCCCCCAGAAGGAAAGGATGATGCCCTGGTCGGAAAATGCTCCTGAATGTCAGAATGTGGCCTCCGTGGTGGTGCAAGGCGTTAAGCATCACACTATGAAGCAATCCACAGCCTCTGTAGCGTGAGTGCAATCCCCGGCCGCCAGGGAGCAGCACACATGGCACAGCAGACCTCTCCTGTCTCACCTGCTGCTCCCCTCAACAGTGTATTTCAGTCAGTCTGCCTGTTCTGCTCCCCGCTCTGTCTCTGGTGGATCCTCTCAGCTCCCCCCTTCCTTCCTTCCTCCCCCCCCCCTGCCGCGCAGCATCTCTGGCCTGTACCCAAGCTCTTGTATGCATAAATAAATCTTTTTAAAAAAATGTCAGAATGACAAAGAGGAATGAAAAGAGGAATCAACACCCTTAACAGTTCTGGGGACCTGCTGAGACCTTGATACATGCAGTCAATTATTCGGAGACAAAATAAATAAAACCCAGAGTGTCACCTTGTGGAGAGTTCTGGTACTGCCTGTGCAGGACTATTGGAGTTGGTTCAACCCCTGCTTTTCACTTGGGTGGGGAGGAGAGTGTGGGGGTGGGGGAAAAGAGAGTGTGGGGGTCAGAGGGAATTAACCCTTTGGGTGGGGGAGAGGCCAGAGGACAGCCCGTCTGAGCCTGACTTCAGGAGGGTGTTGGGAGCAGTTAATGAGACCTCTGCCTTCCCCGGGGTACTCTGGTTTGGTCTCCCTGTCCATTTCCACTGCCTGAATGGATTCCGGAGAACCTGGGTAGAACCTGCACTGCCTTTTAACGTGGCTCCTGCCTCCCCTTGGCGGGAAGGCACTGGATCAGCCCCATCTCCGCTCACTACCCAAGGGGCCCTGAACACAGCTTTCTCTATTTTCCACTGGTCTCAGTGCCCTCCCACCACATTTCGTGGCTTTACAGGTTTGCCAATAATGAATCTCTGGAAACTGAGGGTCACTGTGTGTGCATCTGGGTGGTCCTAGAGGCTGACCCCTCCCAGGACAGCTTGGCCTTCTGCTTCCTGAGGGAACAGCCTTATTGAAGGGGTGCCTGGTTTCTTTGCCCTACCTAGCAAGCCCACGGCCCAAAGGCTGGTGCTTTGGGGAGCCTAACCAGGACAAAAGTGTGCCTGTACACATACTTACACAAAAGGGTGGTTGGCACACACTTCTTGGAAAGGGGGGCTATTGAGGCCCTCTAGAGAGGGGCTTTGTGGGATACCCAGGCTTGGGGGATTAAGGTATCACCAGTCAAGCCTGGCCTGGCTCCCATTCTGTTCCCTGCCCTGACACAGTTTCATTCCCAAACATCTCTGTGTCACACAAGAGCCCTGACCTGGAGGCAGTGGCCCCACCTGGACCCACACCCCTACCCAGAAGCAGCAATTTCACGGTTCGAGCATCCTTCTCAGCATCTTCTTTCAGCTTCTTTTCCAGCTCTCTTGAATGCTTCTCCTCAGCGCTGGCCCCAGCCCCCATGATCCCAGCAGCCGGTGAAGGAACAGGGTGGTCAGTTGGCTCTTCTGGATGGTCAGGATCTCCAGAGCCAGGCTGAGGCCAGTTCTGGCCTCCCAGATACCCTCTGACCCCAGAACTGGCAATCAACTGGCTCTCCACAGACCTATGCAGGCCCTGATGAGGTTACTCAGTGGGATTTGGGGGCTGAGGGTACCCGAGAGCCAATCAGAAACAAGGACAGGTGAGTACAGCTCAGCCCCCTGCTCTTCTAATCTGGCTGGTGTGGCCCCAATCCCTCAACTGCTGACCTGGCACTCCCTCTATCCCCACCCCACCCCTCCAGGAGAGGCTCTGGAAACAATCCAACCCTTGCCCCAGAGCTGGGAAATATGTTCAGAAGGGCTTGGGCTAAGAAAGGGGAGGGGAGGGCCTAGAGCCTGGGAGATGGGGACAATGAGGGGTGGGGCTGGCATCAGGGAGCAGAGAGAGAAGTATGCATGGAGCACCTGCTCCCGAAGCAGCACTGGGCTCAGCACCCCTCCTTATCCTGTAAGCATGCAGCAGCCCTGAAGGGTGAGTGCCCACATCATCAACCTCATTTTACTGCTGAGGAAGTGGAGATCAGCCGGTCACACAGCAACACAGCAGGGGGTAGTAGAAAAGGACTGGGTGACTCTGAACCAGGGTTTCATGTTCTGGGGAATCAAAAGGGTTAAAAGATATATTTTGCATTTGCCCCATCTGGAGAGTTGGGTCTGATCTGGGTGGAGTCTCTCCATGTGCCTAACTGCAACTCAGTGGGCATGCCAGTCTCCTCTGTGTTGCTTGTCCCATGCCAGGAATCACATGATAACGTGTCTGTGCGAGTATGTGCTGTGTTCACGCCTTAGTAAATGCCTGTGCACGTGTTCACACACTGCCTCCATGTGCTACTGTGCATGACTCTTCATGTGCATGTGCTCATGTGTGTGCTTTGCAGGGCTTGTGTGGTCCAACGTGCACGTGAATGTGCGAACGTATGAATGTGTGCACATGTGGAATATGTGCTAGTGTGTACTTGCCTGTTAGTGTCTGTGTGCCTATGCATGAGTGTGTGCCTGTGTGTATACATTCATGCATCTATGTGCCTATTTGTGTGCACACACTATGTGTATTTGTGCACTTGGATGCTACAGTCTTGCAAGGGGCAAGCCTCTTCTAAAGAATGTTTGGTTTTTTTTTTTTAAAGATTTTGGGCCTCCATGGTGGTGCAAGGGGTTAAGATACAACCTATGAAGCTATCTGCAGCCATTGCAGCACAAGTTCAATCCCCTTGGCTGGCCAGGGAGCTACCCACATGGCACAACAGACCTCTCCTGACTCGCCCACTGCTCCCCTCAGTAGTGTATTTCAGTCAGTCTTGCCTGTTCTGTTTCCCACTCTGTCTCTGGTAGATCCTCTCACCCCCTCATCTCTGGCCTGTAGCCCAGCTCTTGTATGCATAAATAAATAAATCTTTAAAAAAATAAATCTTTTTTTAAAAAAGATTTATTTTTGCATAGAAGAACTGGGGTGCAAGCCAGAGGTGCTGGGGGTGGTGAGAGGATTCACCAGAGAGAGTGGGGAGCAACAGGTGGATTTACTGAAATACTCTGCTAAAGGGAGCAGTAGGCAAGATAGGAGAGGTCTGCTGTGCTACATGTGGGTCAGCTCCCTGACCGGGGCTCAAACTCAGGCTGTAGTGGTGATAGCTCTGACTTAATCCCTAGGCCACCAGGGAGGCTCCCAAAGAATGTTTTACAGACCGGTTGTCATATGGGGAAACTGAGTCCCAGAGCAGGTCTGACACTCCCAGGAGCATGGGGAGGTGGGACTCATTTATTCTACTATACTGTGCCCTGTGGATGATCTGGGCACTGCCTAGGGATCTGGTGTCTGTGTATTCAGGTGGTACAGGGCACGCCTCTGTGAAGAAATGGCTCGATTAAGCTTGTAATGTTGAGTGCCAAGTTTCTGGAGATTTCCCACCTCTCAGTGTGCCTTCCAGGGGGTCTGATATTCCTGGCTGGACTGTCATTTGGAAACCTACCTTTTAGTACTCAACTCTGTTGCATACCCAAGAGGCCACAAGGGGGTGCCAGGACCCCAGGCACTGAGCACAGAAACCTGTCCCGAAATAGGACAGAGAAGTGGTACTGATTCCCACCATGGGCTGTGGGCTGTAACCCATACCCTGTTGAGTGTGTGTGTGTGTGTGTGTGTGTGTGTGTGTGTGTGTGTGTGTGTGTGTGTGGTGGGGGGGGTCTTCAGGGCAAAGTGTCCTTTGTACCATTTTCAGCCTTCATTTGTGCCAGTTTCATCTGTGTTCCGTCTATCCTCCTCTACCCACCGCATTATTAGGTGGAACGGGAGAGGGGGTGTCTCTGCAGCCCCTTACACACTGCCCATAGGGTAGAGCAGGAGCCTGGGTGTAAAGCCAATGAAAACCTGGTTTCTGTGTTTTGGATTTAAAGTAGGGCCAATCCAACCTCCTACCCATCTCCCCTTGGCCAACAGGCATGGCCCTAAGCCCCGCTGGGTGAATGCTCCTTCCCAGCCTTTAGCTCCCCTATCCGGGCTGGACTCAGTGCATTTGGCTCAGGGCTCCCACCCCTGCTTTGTCCTGTCCAGCAGCTGCCTACCTATCCTGTTCCTCCCCACCTCTGGACATTTGCTCATGTTGGGTGCTCTGTTGAGGGCCAGCAGGAAGGAGACATGGAGGAAGGGGATTTTGTTAACTTTCAAGAAAAGGACAATTGGACTGGAAGAACTGTGGCTTTGTCTTGCCGATTCTGCGTCCTCAGTACCTCAGACCAGGCCAGACACAAAGCCAGGTGAGAAAGCAGTGTCAAACAACTGAGCAATCAAATGAGTGAACGGAAGCTAGGTTTGCAAAAGAGAATTGTGGGAACTGGTGGCCAGGTCACATGGGGAGCAGGAAGGCTAGACTCTGGGTTTGAGCTGAACTCCCACCCTCCTCCCCTACCAACGAGAAAAGCCAAAGTCCAGTCCCAGAGCCAGTGTTTATTAGCAAGATGGAACCCAAGGGCGGCTGTGGCCTGGGGAGTAGAGGGCCACCAGGAGCCCCTACCCACCTGGCCGTGCCCCCACCCAGAGCTATTTACACCCATCTGAAGTGGTGGGCAGAAAGGAGCCCTGGGGAGCCTCTGTGGGCCTCCACCATGGCCCACTCTTCCCTCAGTCCTGCCTGCACCTGGCCCCTGTTATTCTCCCAGCCCCTAAGTCCAAGTGACACAGAACAAAAGAAGAGGAGGTAGAGTGAGGCAGCCCTGCCCTGGGCAGCAGGGAGCGGGGCGGGGGGGCTAGAGTGCGGCCCTAAGCAGGCAGGGCTCCTCTTCTCCTGTGCCCAATAAATAGAGATTAAATACCTGGGGAGGGGCTGCCCTTGACTGAGTGCCCCCTCCCAGGCAGGGGCTGGCATCCTGTAACAGCCCATTCTTCCCTTCTCTGAGTGCATCTGAGCCCCACCCGCCCACCACCCTCAGTCTCCAAAGCAGTCCTCGCGGCCAGGTCTGTGCCAGGGGCACAAGCTGACGGCACGCACTGGCAAAGGTGTACAGTCCGTGCCCTGTCCAGGTAGAGCTTGATCGCTCCCCGTGTCCTGTAGATCCTGGAGGTGGCTGTCGTCCAGCAGGCAAACTCCCAGCTGAGTCTGAAGACTGTGTGGTCCTGGCCTGGCCCTGCCAACTGACTGGGCCTGGTAGGTTGGCTCTGTTTTCTGCCATCTCTGACCAGCATGGGTCTAAGTTTTGGAAGATGCTGCCGCTGAGGCAGGCTATATACAACCCACCAATAAATACTGTCTTTGCAGGGGCAGGGTGTGTATAGAATATAGATATTTTTATATTTATATATATATATATCTTTTATATTAAAAGGGACAAGGGCTAGGCTGGCCCACTGCAGGGCTGACAGCTGGCCTCATGTGTCTGGTGGGTGGTGGCGGCGGTTCCGGGGCTTTTTCTGGTCCTGGGGTTCAGGAGGCCTGGGTGCCCCTGGTGCCTCCTTGGGACTAGGGGGCACATGGCGCCAGTAACCCTGGCAGTACTGGTGGATGAGGCCCACTTCTGGTTGGGCCAGCAGCTGGGCCAGCTCCTGGTAAGGGGGTGTGGGGGGGCCTGCGCCAGGAGGCGGTGGGGCGCTCACAGCTGGCGGCGGGAAGAGGGCAGCATGGACAGCATCCCGGCCCAGTACATGTAGCTGCACTCGTGTGACGACGTGCTTGAAGTTGTTCTCTGTGGCTGTGCAGGAGTAGAGGCCTCGATCCCCGAGCTGCAGGGCTCGAAGTAGCAAGCCCTGCTCTGTACGCAGGAAGCGGTCCTCGGCACGAATCTGCAGGGGCAGACATGGGGCTCAGGGGCAGCATGACCACTGCTGGCCAAGCCAGCTTCCTGATTGGACCATCTGGGGTCACTCCCTGTGGACATTCATTCCCATGTGGAACTTCCATATACCGAGAAAAACCCACATGAAATTGCTACATAGCATCTCAATAAAGCAGCCACACAAGATTATAAGGGGATTCCACACAAGCAGAGAACTTTGGAGCATACCTACAGAATTTCTACTTCATGAGAATGCTCAGCTGGAGCACCCAGAATTTCCATGTAAGGATATTTCCATAAAATGAAGGCTACTCACAGAATTCCCATATACTGGAGCTCGTCCACATTATGCTTCCAATTTAGTATACATGCCTCCAGTGGAGTATGCGTATGCAATTTGCATGTAAAAAGGCACAGTTTCCATATAATATGAAATTCCACGGAGTTTCCTTCTACAACTAGATTCATTCAAATGATTTCACATAGGGAAGGGAGCGTGGAAAGGTTTCTTAAAATGAGGGCTGCCCCATTTTGGCTCCTAGACCACATCTCAGCCAAGTGGCATTCCCATTACCCAGGGACTCCCATAACCGTGGTGAGGACTGGGAGGCACCTACCTCGCGGCGCCGGTCACTGGGATCTCGCTGGAACAACCATTTAACAGTGGCCTGGGGTGAGCGGGGCTGGCACTCAAGGAAGGCCGCGCTGCCTGCCACGCCATACTGCACGGACTCCACAGCATTCTTGTTGGCTAGGGGACAGGAGAGCGCTGTGTGAAAGCAACATGGCTTCTGGGCTGACTGTAGGGGGTGCGGGTGGGGTTGGGTGGCAGGAGCGCATACAGACACACACCCATAAAAGCGGAGGCGGGGGTGTCACTGGGCATCTAGTGCTTGAGGGGGTGGTTAGGGACATCCCATCCCCATAACCCCAGACCCCTCATCCCTACAGTCATGTGAGAATGAATCCGTGCAGTGGGGGCCGGGTATGCAGCTCTGTGGGCTGCACAGGGCTCCAATGTATGGCCAACACCCAGAGGTGAGACAGACACTCACCATTGGAGTTGAACCCACGGCACTGCCTGATGGGGTTCCCGTGTCGGACGTCTTGCCGGCGGCTCCGCCTGGGGGAGGACAGCTCCTGAAGGAGTATTCCCAAGGAATCTTGCCCCCCGCCCACATCCCTGAATGCCCAAGACTCGAGGGCAAGGATGATCACCCATAGACCCCCCCGCCCAGGGTAAAATCCCATCTACCTCCAACCTTCCCAGACTGGGCCCTGGTCTGGGGCTCTAATTCCATGGGCCTGGGGCTCATACCTCTTAGAGGACGCTGTGTAGCGGGAACAGGCCTGGCCGTCCCAAGCACAGTACGGATCCCGGGCGAGGCAGCAGTCGGCGCAGGCGGCCCCGTAGGCCTGGCAGCGGTGCAGGCTGAGGTGCGTGACACCTACTGCCGAGGCCACGTACAGTTGTTGCTAGGGACAGGAGTAGGGGCTTGTCAGTTCCTTCCCCACAGCCAGTCCCCATCAGGAGTCAGTTGGGTGGGGTTCCCCTCCCTTCCCTTCCTTGTTCCATGTCTCAGTTTTCCCACCCCGGCACCAAGGGCATGACTCCAAGGAGATGCAGGCTCCAGCCTGACACCCAGCCCGCCTTGCCAAGACTCACCCTCTTGGAAGATATGGTCATCGTCTTAACAGGTGCTGGGTCCTGGAAGAAGACAGGGATCAGTCTGGGACCCTCGGACCTCCTTCCCAGGCTGACCTGAGCTGAGTTCAGGAGCTGGTACTAGGGAGGGCCAAGGTGAAGAGGACAGGACTGGCTGGGACACACCCACCTTGAAGACCTCCACCTCCTCCAGCATGAGCTCCTCCATCTCCTGGTCATTCTTGGGCAACACGATGACCTTCTGCACTGTCCCGCGGTCTGGAACGGGCCGGGCAGGGCCTCAGTGGGGCTGAGGCTGCTGGGGAAGGGGCACTGGCCTCAGCCCCTTCCCCCACCAGGCCCAAACCCCTAAGGGCAGTAGAGCAGGAGCTCTGTGCCAAGGCTGAAGAGTTTCTCCGGAAGGGGAGCACTGGCCGAGAATAAGGGGTGGTGGTCAGGGTCTGCCTGTCCCACCCCAGACCCACAGTGCTGGAGGTGTTCCCCTGGGTGGTGCTCACTGTGTGCACACAGAAGCTCCATGGAGGTACCTGCAATCTGTCTCCCTTCCCTGCCCATACACCACTCCTCAGGAGCCCAAGTGTTCCCGCTTTTACTGCCCCCCTGGGGTGGGGATCAGAATGGGGTTTCCCACCTCAGTTATCTTAGCAATAGGGAGAAGGCTCCCAAGGATGAGGGTGGCAGAGTGGGCCTTGACAAGCCTGTAGCAACCCCTAGCAGGGTAGGTCCCAGCCCCATGGATCTGTACCCTCCACCCAGTGGGCCCAGCGTGGGAGGGGCTGGGAGCAGCAGTGGGTACCTGTGCCCAGGAAAAGCACCTCATAGCGCCCATCGGCTGCATCCACCTGGTCCACGGCGACAGTGGTGAGGCGGTAGGGAGCGCCAGTGCGGACCACAAGGGGCCGTCGCTGCAGAGGGTACACAGCCTGGTACATAAGTGGGTGGCTGCGCATGAAGTTGATCACTTCGTCAGGATAGTCCTTGGTGGACTTCATGGATGGTGTGAAGGTTCCGCCAGGGCACTGCAGGCAGGTGATAAACATCAGAGTCAGGCCACCCAAACGGGGTTCACTGGCGAGGCCTCTGTTCTGTCTGTCCCCATCACCTCTACCTGCTTCTCTCTATGCAGGCTTCTGCCTACACCCAACCTTCTGTTCCAGCCAAGGCCCCAAGGCCCCACAAGGTCAAACTCCACAGCCACCTCTCTGGCCTCACGTGCCATGATGGGTGGCAGCACTCAGCAGAGCTGACCAATCCCTTTCCTGTCCTCATCCCACCATTGTCTCCTTTCTCTCTGGCTGTTTCCCTGCCCGGCTGGCCAGCAAGCCCTGAATTCCTCTAACACATGAGGCGTGCTCTCTCTCATCCCTGGTGCTGGTCTCTGACTGGGAGTTACCTTCCTAGCCCTGGCAGCTTAACTCCAGCCCATCCTTCCAGCCTCCAAGTTCACCTCTGGGGGGATGCCTTTCCTCTGCTGAGTCTGGCTTCTCCATCCCAGGCCTGGCCTCACAGAGTTGTAACATCCCATGCATGGGATCAGCTCACATCGCCCTCTTGTTTAGACCCAGCAGTTACAGCCCACATCAGACCAAGATGAGTGTGAATCATCTCCTACCACCACAGACTGGGCCCTGGCCCACCCCTGCCTCCTGACTACTGTTCGCCAGCTTTGCTGACCTCTAGCTGCCTCTCTGCTTTTGCTTCAAAAATTCTTTCCTCAAACTTTAAGTTTCCAAACACCCCCAGAAGGCATCCCATGGAGCAGCCCGCCATCCCCAGTCCACCACCCTTGCTTCAGGATCCTGGCTGAGTTCCTTCACAGCCTGACCTTGCGTGTAAATAGTGGGCTGTATTTTTCTTTAAACTTTTTTTTAATTCCGCTTTATTTCAAGCCTACCCACAGATGTGCTCCCAACAAATAACAACTCAGCTTTATTAAGGAGATATGGGGGGTTTATATATGCATCTGGTCCACCTCCCCCACCTGACTCCATGATGGTGGGGCCCACAGATGCAAAGAGCTGACATAGAGAGGAAGTGGATAGGCCAATGAGTGGGTTCTCACCGTGCCTGGCCTTGGGTAGGGCATCTTTCCTGAGAAGGGCATCCACTGGTAGTTGGGGCCCTCCTTGTGGGCGAAGGGCCCATTGAAGACCATGCGAATATCAGCCATGGAGTAGACACACACGGCAGAGCCTCGGAACACGGAGCTACAAGCAGGGCGGATGTGTGGTGGGTAGCGCAAATTCCCAGGCCCCCTTCCCAGACTGCCCTCACCCGGCAACTTGCCACCAGGCTGGGCTCCTCTACAAGGCAGAGACCCCCAACCCAGAAATATGCTGCCATTGCTGGCCCAGCTCCAGTCTTACCCCGAGGAGGTAAAGACAGCATAAATGACTGGGTTCCTCACATCCTGGGTCTGCTGGACAAACACATCCTCTGGGAATAGAGGGAAAAGGTGCTGGGAGGGTATCTTAGCCAGGAGCCCAGGGTCCTGCCCACCCAGACAGCTTCTGTCCCTTCCAAGGTAGCCCCAGTACCCCCTCTGTCTGCTGGGCACTCACGGAGCTCATCGAAGTGGGTCTCAATGCCATCCTCGCCGGGCACCGAGCAGACCAACCTTGCCTTCAAGAATGTGCTCCACTTGTTGACCAGGCAGCAGTGGCCGCCGTCATCGTTCTGAGGGGCAGGGAGCAGGGACTGGGTCAGAGAGGCCAGCTGACCCCCGAGGCCCTGCCAGAGCAGGGCTGACAGGTGTGGAGAGGAGGGCACAGCCACCAGCCCAGCGCGTACCAGGCAGATGCGCCCGATGCGGGCGTACACGGCGGGGCTCTGCTGCGCCTCTGCCGATCGCTCGCGAAAGAAGAAGTAGAGCTTGTCGTCATTGCGCTCAGCGCTGTCAGGAATGAGCTCCGCGTGGATGAAGGAAGGGTCTGCAGGGGCAGAGGTCAGCTGGCGCGCCCTCCTCCCACAATGCCTCTTTTCTGGACAGCATCACTGGCCATGCACAGAAACACCAACTCTGCCCCAGACAGGCACCCTCCCCCACCCAGCCAGCTGCAGGCGGGAGTGCCCCGCGAGTGCTTCTTTATCTCCTCGCCTTGTCCCAGACATGCTGCCCACCAGCGGGCTTGGGCTGCGCTCACCATTGAGCCACCGGGAGTTGTACTGGTCTGTGCGCATGGCTGTCTGTTTCCCCAGGGTGCGGAAGATGGCGGCGTCGGTGCCCATGAAGTCGATGTATACTCCGGCATAGAGCTCCTCGTCTGTGGGGAGCCGGCGGGTAGGTCAGGGCACCAGGGTACCCAGTGACCTCCAGAGCAAGGTCGTATTGCTCCCTAGCCTCCCAGGGCATGAGTCCATCACCAGTGGGTGCTGGTGTTGACGGCCTGGCTGCAGGATTGAGATGAGCAGCATGGTAGCTCTGATGAGCAGCAAGGGCCAATCTCTGTGGTGGGGACGCTCCCACCACGGCTGATGGCAGTCACTAACCTCAGGCACAGGTGGCGTGGGGAGGAGCTGCCACACCAGCGTGCAGCATTTCCACTCCAAGAGGCAAGTCACCTCAAGAGCACAGATGATAAGAAAATATAATAAAATAACTAGGAACTAATGAGTTTTGAGTATTTATTACGTTTATTTTTAAAGTAATTTACTTAATTGAAAGTGCATGTAGTTTACTTTTTAATAATAGCTGTGTTTAACAGCTGGATCACAAAACACCTGAACATTTTAACAGAAAGTTGAATAATTACGCTGGCTGCAGGCCACTCCATTTCTTTCCTCTTAGGTTCCCCAGGGCAGGCCCTGCTTCCCCCACCAGGGCCCCAGTCTGGGCTCTGCCATCAGGCTAGGATCTTCTTGCTGGCCAGGAGGGGAAGGATAATGCCAGGACTCTACCCTGGGGGCCTTTCCCAGGCTGGGAGGTGGCACAGCAGCTGCCACGAGTAGACAAGGTTGGGCAGCCAGAAAACAGGCAGGGGCCAGGGATAGTGGTGGGCCCACACGACTTGCCGGTAGGAGCAGCAGCTGCTCCCGGGGCCCCAGGCAGTACCCCTTCTCAGAGAAGATTCCCCCAACTCCCTCTGACACTAGGCTAGGTCAGAAACAAACCCCCTCTGATGTTTCTTTGTGGAGTCTCTCCAGCCTCTCAGACAAGCCAAGGACACGCCATGGGACACCCCCAACCCCCATCTTAGACTGCCCCCAATAGTTTCAGCTTATCTTCTCCTCCAGACAATCTGTGGCTGGGACAGTTCTGCCTTTGCAGGGTCCACCCCAGATTACAGGGTAGGATTTAGTCCCCTGAGCACCCCCAGCCCAGGGGTTGAATGGAGGCTCACACTACCCTGTCTCTATGCCTGGACTCACATGGTGCCAGTTTGTCTCCCCTACAAGGTGGGGCCCCACTGGGGGTTTAGGGACGACGTGTCCACAGTGTGTGCCCGGGGTAAGTGTTGTTGCCACCCCTTCCCATCCTCGAGGCAGAGGCCACATGGGGCAGGGGGGGGCACTCACTGATGAGGGCCGAGGCTGTGTCCAGCTTGGGGTCATACGGACACTTGCCCTTCCCTGACTCCAGTCTCTCAGGCTCCAGGTAGAAGATGTAGTCCTGTAGGGCAGAGGGGGACTCAGCACCATCCAAGCTGGTCCCACAGCCAGGAAGGGCAGGCGTCAGGCTCCCAGGGTGAGAGCGAGCCCCTGGGGAAACCCCGAAGCCACTCCACCATTCCCCAGGGCTCCTTGGGTTTTAACTGTAGCGAGGTCACCCAGGACAGGGCCATGCCGTGGGCTCCAAGGGAGGTGCTTCCTGGTCCCAGGTCTTGGAGGGCTCTGCTTTGGGAGTCACGAGAGGGGGATGGGCAGGTTCAGGTGCTACAGTCCTCCATGCCAACCACCTCAGAAAGACTCTGGTCAGGGTCCCCTTGGGCCACAGAGACACAACTCACTGAGCTGTTTCTGCCTGTCCTGGGCCAAAAAGGGGCTGCCAACCAGAGGACAGTGGCCAAGGGCCTGAGCTCCAACCCACCAGGCCAGAGGGTTCTGAGGTCAATGTGTCCCCAGGCTTTATGCCCTACCTGTGGTCCTTAGGCCTAATAGTCCGTGGCCTTCTCCCTGTCCCTCAGCAGAGCCCCCAGCTCCACATGTCTCCCCAGGGTGGCAGGAGTTGAGAGGTCCACTTTAGACCACATGGTATTCACAAAGCCCCCTCTGCCTCCCAATCCAGCCCAGGAGATGCTAGGAGGAAGGAAGCTGAAGGTTCTGGGACCAGGATGAGCTCACGGGAAGGGGGGTAAAGGAGAGAGGCAAAGAGGTAGGAAGGAGGTGGCAGCAGGTGGCAGGGATGGTGATGGAAAGATATACACAGGCCCGCTTTCAGTAACACTCTGCACACGACTCCCTGCACACACAGTACCGCACACATCGCTGCAGCACACGGAACCCACTGCTCACCCTGGGCACACACACGCAGAGCCTGGGCAGTCCCGCTTCTCAGCACTGCCTGCCAGACACACAAGCTCAAGTAACCACTTTCTCTGTCATTCACCGGCAGCCCCTGCCCCTGGGCCCGCCCCTGCCCAGCCCCAGCACCCCCAGACCAGACCCCAGGTCATGGTTAGTGGACAGACAGCTGTGCCCTTCCACCCCAGGGGAAGACAGTTCCACATGCGTGAGTGTGAAGGACATTGTTCACTGAAGGTCCAGGGCAGGCCCAGGGCATGGGCACCCAAGAGTATGTGTCAGACTGTACATACATGCCATGCTCCCACCCTGGGTGAGAAGCAAGATGTGGGTGTGAGTGCATAATGGGTGCCCATGTGTACCAGCTGTGCTCAGATGTGTCTATACAAATGGGTTCTGAGGGTGAGGCACAGCTGGCCCCAGGGCTCTGTCTTCCCCACCTGGTGGCTTCATGATTTCTTGCCTTCAGGGGTCACACTGAGGCTGACTTGGCTTCAGCTGAGAATACCTTCAGAGCCTGAGGGCACTGCAGAGGAAGGGGTGGGATGGGGGCACAGAGATAGAGGAGAGACCCTGGGGAGCTTGGCCTGGGGTGCAGGTCCTGGCTGGAAGGCCAGGCCCAGGGTGAATTTAGTTCACAGGTGGTACTGCTGGCATGGGCCTGGAGGGATGAGGCCCACCTGCAGTGGGACTGTGGGCGTCGGGCGGAGGGCACCATCCGTGGCTCTGCTGCCTCGGCCTCTGACCACTTGCATCTGGGTCCAGGGTGTGGCCTGAGAAGATGAGGAACAGGGATTAGAGCCAGGGGTGGCAGGGGCTGGGGGAGCGGGCTCGGGCTGCCAGCTTCTTACACCACACATGCCAGGAACACACTCGAGCGCACAGATGCACGTGCGTGTGCACACATCCACAGCTTGGCACACGTCTGCACACACATGTCCCATAGGCCCAAATCACTCTCATACATGCCCTACAACGTCACACCAGCTCACACACATGCCTACATGGAGATGGAAAAGGGCAGAAGCGAACAAGGCAGGGCAGAGCTGGGGAAGGAGCAGCTCTCCCCCAGGCCGCGTGGCGGAAGCTGACCCAGCATTCAACCTCCTGATGCTTAGGCCCCTCGGGCCCTCTAGCTCGGCTGCGGGGGCGTGGGCCACAGGCATGGCCAGGATGGTTGCTACAATGTGGAGTGAGCACTTACTACGTGCCTGGCACAGTGCTAAGAGCTTGGGGAGCATTAGCTCACTGCCTCCTCCTTACACCGACCTGTGAGAAAGGCAGCCATTAGCCCCATTTTCGGGGGGGGGAGAAAGCCGAGGCTCTGAGGGGTGAAAGAAGTTACTCACCCATGGCCACAGGGCTGGGGCTCAAGCCCACGTTCCCATCAGAACCCTGCAATGCGGCTACTGAGGGGGCTGGGGGCAGCACGGGGCCAGGACTGGGGACTCACCTGGGCACGGCGGCCGCGGTTTACATAGGTGCACACGGGGTTGTAGGCGCCGGTCCCACACACGTACAGGTGTGTTCGGTTCCAGGGCTGGATGAGTCTGACGAAGTTCCCACATTCACCCTGGGGCCAGAGGGAAAGCTGTGGAGGTGCCTAGATGCCCTCCTCTCCCCATTGCCTCCCTGGGGTCACCTACTCCCCTCAACCCCACCTGTGGCCCGCACTGCACTCACATTGCCATCCTTGCCTGAGAGCACGCACTCTTCAATGCGCTGCGGGGAGGCTGCCCAGTGGATCTGCCAGAGATGAGAGTCGGAGGGTGCCATGGGCTGGAAAGGCCCCCAGCTCTGGGGTCCCGTGCCCCGCAGCCCCCCCCCCTACATCCCTACATGTAGACAGGCCCTTACAATGAGGGGCTCGCGGTTGATGTCATGCAGGTCCAGGGACAGCACATAGTCCTTGCTGCCCACGTACATGCGGTCGTGGTCCTCGTCCTTGAGCAGGATTCGGTAGTCGGTTGTGTTGAGCATGAAGTTGAAGAAGTGGGCCGTGCCTGTGGCCTTGAGCTCTGTGGGTGGGGAGCAGGGCAGCAATCAGGACCCTGGAGAATATCCAGCCACAGCCTACCACACGTCTCACGGGCCCAAATCACTCTCATACGTGCCCTCATACATGTCATCTCAAGCCCCCCAGGTCCCCACCCAGACTTTCTTAGTTTCCTCTCCAGTTCCTGAATTGTTGGGAGGAGAAAGTGGGACAGGTGGGCAAGCCAGGAAAGGGGGCCACACCCAAACCTCTGATTCACCAGCAGCCCCAGCCAGTCTCTGGGTCCCAATGAAAGGCCAGTGGGTGCGAGCCAGGCTGAGGGATGGCATCAAAGAGTCTTTGCTCATATGGGGGTAAATACTCCCACGCTCAGGGTGGGGCTGGCTTCCCACAAGGACCTAAAAGGGTTAATGAGCAGGGGGGTGTGGAGGCAGGTGCATCCAGGACAGCCTGGAGACGCTGGCACAGAGCCCAGATGCCCTTTCCTCACCCCAGTTACCCACCAGACAGACCAGAGCTGGCACACAGCAGGGTCCCACCTCATCTGAAGTGGGTTAGCCAGCACACCAGAAAGTCCTGTTACCCAATAGACCCTGGGCTCCCACAGGCTCACAGGGCTGTAACTAGTGGAATATTCAGGCCACTTTGCACCCACCAGGCACATTTTCCCCAGGAAGGAGGCCCTCCCCCTAGTACGGCAGCATCCGGGGCTGGGCTGGGTCCAGCTCAGTCCTCAGTCTCTCTTCTGTGTGAGTCTGGCAGCCCCAGCCCTCCCATCCCCAAGTCCTCTTTCCTGGGACTGAAGCGCAGGTGGGAATGGGCAAATGACAGGCCAAAGACAGACACAGGACTCCAGGAAACTTGGAAACCTTTGTCTGGGAAGGGGAGAGCCAAGGGGTCCCTTTGGCAAGCCCCTCCTCCACCCACCCCAGCTATTCTTAGCTCAGCAGGAGGGAAGACTGTAATGAGGGTAGCAAATATTCATGGGAGGCTTGAGATGGCAGCACATAGACGAGCACATGCGTGTTCACACATGGCCCAGGTATGCACACAAGCCCACACGTGTCCCCCATCAGACAAGGTATTCACCACGGTGGGCGGGGGGCAAGCACACCCTGTCTCCCCACGCTGCAGCTGGGCACCCATTTCACAGGTGGGGCAATCAAGAAGAAGGCCTGGAGAACAGCTGGGGTGTGAGGCTCCAGACACTGGTGGGACCAGCAGATGGTCATGTCCCACCAGTCAGGGTCACCCTGCACTAGGTGGCTATCCTGGTCAACCCTGAGCCCTGTTATGAACTGGGGAACCTGGGGTGGTGCTGGATAGGTGTGTCCAGATGTGCTGTCCAAGGTAGGCTGGGAGCTGAGGGACTCCTACAGCAGACCCAGAGACCTTGCTAAAGACCTAGGAGGTAAGCAAATGCCTTGCTTGCCCAGTCTTCACTATGTGGCAACAAGAGAATGCAGGTGATGACCTTGTCCAACCACTGGGACGGAGGGACGCCGAGGGATCAAAGGGCCGATTCCTGCCAGGCTACGGCCTCTCCCGCCTGTCCGGCGGCGCTTCTGAAGTCCTGGGCAGGGCAGCCTGGACACCTGTCCTGCACCTGTTGTTGGGCCACTCGGAGTCCCCCGCCTGGCCACCCAGCCCTAGTGACAACAGGAAAGTAAACACTCACCCACCCCCCAGGGCCAGGAAGCAGCCAGAGAGGAAGTGGGGCTGCCAGCCGAGCCCCCCCAGACTGGGACAGCCCGCCAGCGGTTATTTATACCCTGGCTGGGGGTATGGGGGCATGGCCTTGGTTGTGCCTTTATCCGTCCTGCTGGCCCAGGGTAAGGGGCATTTAGGGGACACTGGAGGGGAGGGGGGAAGCTGCAAACACCTAACTCCCAGAAACCCAACCAGGCATAATCTCTACTTGCCCCTCACCCCCCCACCCCCACCATTCCTACCCAGCCTTGGCCTCTATAATCTGAACTCTCTTGCTCTGCCGTGGCCCTCCAAGTCCCCGCCCTGGGGTCAAAGCCCCAACACTGCGGGCTCCAGCCCCCTCTGTGAGAAAGGCAGGGAGAGCCCATTCAGCACATGAGGAAACTGACACCTCCACATGGAGCAGATGAGCTGATCTCACATCCTGCCCCTCAGCTCTCTGAGTCCCCAGCCGGTCTGCCCCTGGGTAGAGGTGGGACTGGAAGGAGCTTCCCATTCAGTCTTTAAGCACATATTATATACAAAGCCTTGCACCCCAAACATCGATTCACAGATGAAGCACAGAGAAGGGAAGTGATGTGCTAGAGTGCAGGAAGGTGGGAAGGATTCCCGCCCAGGTCCTTGGTTTTCTGAGCCGATGGAAGGGGAGGCCCAGGGCTGGAAGGTGACTCGCCCTCCAGCGACAGGGCATGTGACTCAGGACCCTCGGGACTACCCCAGTGGCCACGGGAAATGGCGTCAATGGCTCTGTTGTCACAGGACATGATGTTTCTGTCCCTGTGGGAACCGTGGTGTGGGAGGAGAGTCCCCATGAGGCTGTGCGGGGCATGGCGGGGTGAGACCACCGATCAGCAGTCTGGCTCTGGCCTGGCTCTGTGACCCCAGCTGGGGCATTCTGGCTCTCTGAGCCTTATTTTCCCACCTCGTGGGGCTCCTAGTACTAACATTCGAAGTGGTCCCAGCTCTGCTCTGACCTCCTCGGCCCTCACTCACCCCTCCCTCATGGGCTGCCTGTGACTTGGGAGTAGGGGGGAGAGTGAGGAAGGGTCTCAAGCCCTCTGTCCAGGGGAGCAGGTTCACCATCTCCGAGAGACATCCACCCCTCGGTCCCATCCCTGCTGCCCTGCTTCCTAGTGCTGGGATGGGGAGCAGAGAGGGCAAGGGGGCAGGAAGGGGCTTCCTGTATGACTCAATACAACCGTCCCCTAACTCCATCCTGTCTGCCCCCTCTACCAGCCCACAGGAGCAGAGCTAAACCCAGAATCACCCATTCAAACCGGACCTGCATAAGGGGAAATAGGTGGAGAAGGGAAGGAATTTTCCCAGGTCCCGGAGCGGGCTGGGAGCGGGATTCCGGCCTTGTTGACATCCAGCTGGAGCGTTTGTCTCACGGCACCAAATTGCAGGAAAGGATTCAAACAAGGGTCCCCACAAAAGCCTTGCTCCCCAGCTCCAGACAGAAAGACTGAGGCCCAGGGAGAAACAGTACACCACAGGTCATAAGTTGACGATTGAAACCGGTGTCCTGGCCCCCCTCCCTAACCTGTCACAGGGCAAAGGAACTGGGGGCCTGCATTCCTCCAAGAAGCCTGGGCCAGGGCAGAGGGCAGTTAAGCAGCACTGGGTCTCCCGCTGACACCTGCAGTGGCAGCAGGGCTAGATACTATTGGCCCACAGACCCCTGGGGAGCAGGGACTATGGCAAGGGGGGCTGGGGCCTGAGGAGCCATTAGTGGGAGGAGGGTGCCATGGATCCAGCCTGACCATATCCTCAGACCAGGTGCCACCTGCCTCCCTTGTCCAGCTCTAACAGCAGGAGCCTGACCCCTCTCCATGACAATACTGAGGGCGAGGCTGGGATTCAATCTAGGGTTCTGTGGGTGTCAGGACTCAGAAGCTTTGACCTTGTGGTATGACAGGGTGATGGCTCCTGGGAAGGGCTCCCCACCCCATACCCTCACCCAGGCTGGGCACAGGTTGGGTGTGGCGACATCCGGGAAGGCTTTTCCCGTCATTGGGAAGGAAGAGCCTTTTCTGGCATCAGACACCTCATTTCCGCAGTCGTTCCTAGCCTCTCGCACTCCCCCAAGGCCGTTAGACACTCAGGGTCCTGGCTCAGAATGACCTGGCTAAGGTCCAGAGGCAGGAGCACTCTCAGTGCAGAGGCACTCTCAGTGCAGAGGGGCGTAGTCTTGGGGGCCTCCTTCTCCTGCTCCCTGGGAAGAAGCAGTGATGCCGTACTTTAAAGGAGTTGGTAGTCAAGGACAGCCCTGAGGAGGCGTGCCCCTGCTGCCTGTCTCTAGGACACCAAGTCTGTTGTCAGCAAGGCAGGGGCTGCTACAAAAAGTGGGGGGTCTTGGAGTAGAGGTGAGTACCCGCCCCCTTGGTTACAACCCCACAAAGCAGCAGGCTCTGACTGACAGCGTCACCTCCCCTAGCCATGCGTGGGTGTGGAGCCATGATAGACAGGTCCCTACAGCCCAGCCCTGACCTCTGACCTCAAGTGGGCTGGTGCGGCCCTAATCCCTGAGCTAAAGAGAAATGAGACTGGGAGTGAGGTGGGGGTGCTGGCCAGGCTCTTTGTCAGAAAGACAGAGTTTCTGCCCTTCTGAGGGAAGCTAAGGCAGACAAGGATGTGGTAGGAGTGGCAGGGTGCAGACAATCCCTACTGGACACCCCCATGGGCTCAAGGGAGGGGTCCTAACCTCTTTATTACTCCCCCAAAGCTGCAGAGCCCCAGAGGAAGGTCCAGGGGCTGGGCTGGCCCCTTGGCTGTTGGCCTAATCCTCTTTTAATGAGCGGCCAGCCGGAAGGCCTCCGTCCCTGGCCACAGCCCTGCAACCCTGGGAGTCCCAGCCAGGCTGAGCTGGGGGCAGGGCAGCCCCAATGGCTTTGCAAGCACCTTTCCCTCTGTTCAGCATACCCACTTCATACCCCAATGCCCGGACCACAACACTGGCCAGGTCAAACCAGAGCCCCAGCCTCTGCCAGGGATATACCAGGGTGACACCTGCCCAGAGTTCTCAGGGACCCTCTCTGGAACATCTGACATTGTTCAGGTTCAGGTCCCACACACAGCTGAGCTGACACTGCTAATGCAGGGGTTGGCTCTCCTGGTTCATCCCCCCACCACTGTGATGAGAAACCCTGGAAGCTAAATCCAAGAGCTTGCCTTGGCTGGCTTAAGCTACCTACCCTCTGGGGGGTAGGGTGCAGGCTTCTTTGGCCTCAAACCCCTTAATATCTGTCCCCTCTAATCACATCCCTGGGCCAAGTTCTCCAGATCAAGACCCAGAGGCCTCCCCCAGAGCCA